ACTAGTTTTTATTGTGTATGATTTTTTAAGAAATCATATGGTGGATTAAATCATGAGTTCTACACGTTTAAAAGTGTAGAATATTGATATAAAGTGGTGGTATTTAACTTATTGGGGACTATTTTCGAGCTGCAGGCCCGAAAGTCGCCCACCTTTTGCAAAAGCCGCCCGGTTTTGGCTGCTGCCCAGAAATTCCATTTTCAATCGGCCTAGAACGGGGATTGATCGAGGGATGTATCAAAGGCAACTATTGTAGCACATCATAAGGTGATGATGACTGACTATATTGCTTATAATTAGTGAGTTAATTTCATAAGATTACCTAAGGTATTTTAAATGTGATTTTCGGGGATTATTAATGATTAATAATGCCTAGATGAAAATACTATTGCTTGTGAGTAGATGAAGCATGATATACAAATTTAGAGGAAATTGTGTATGCTTATGTGTTATGAACATGATTGCATGATGATGGAATTAACTATGAAATATTGTGATAAAATATACTTTTACTTCATGTAAGGAATTCATGAATGGTTAAAAGTGATATTTTTGATATTGAGATCAAATCATATTTGGATTGGAAAATCAATTGAAATGAATTATTTGATTATGGATTAAGAACTTGGTTGTTCTAAGATTTCCCGTCTAGTATCGAAATACTAGTTGGAAGATTTATATGAATAAATGATGGAATTAATCCTAAGAGATGAGATTGTGAATAGAGATGCCTTAAGTAGTCTTAAGAGATACTTTAAGGTCGAAATGTACGAGCTCTAAGATATGTTAGGAGTAGGCCTTAAAGGCTACTCAAAGTGAATGGAGTCTAGGCATAGAAATTTCTAAGAGACTTAGTAATGTGACTAAGAGCCAGGCTCTAGCACGGAATATTGGTGACTACGAGCGAGGCTCTAGCCCAATGTAGAGTGACTATGAGCGAGGCTCTAGCACAAAGTAGAGTGACTAAGAGCCAGGCTCTAGCACTATGAAACGTGACTACGAGCGAGGCTCTAGCACGGTGTAATTATAATAAGTGAACGAGGTTCCAAAATAGTGAAGTAACGCGTTAAGGTAAATCCTAGAACGGCGTAATAATTTACTATAAATATATGATAATTGTGACTAGTAGTCACGTGGGATGAGGATAGGCGTTTTATATAAATATGAGCCCACACGCCGACTACTTGACTTTATATATAAAGTAAGTATATTTTCAAACAGGGTAACCGAGGGTTACGGCCTATAATATAATATCACCCTAGATTGAGGGTCTTAGAGATTGAAACATTGTTAATTTACAGTGTAGTTGTCATTGTACTTTTCAAATGCTTCAAAGTACTGATCTCCCCTTCACGGGGGAGGCCACCTCACAGTTTCAGGTAGAAGTTGAAGCTTGCTACCGACGCCCGTTGCTTCGGTGATATCTTGGAGAGAATACATGGTTCATGCTTCTTCCGTTTCTATTTTGAAAACAATTATATAAATGCTCATGGATAATGTTTTCTGAATAATTATTTGGGGGCTTGTATGCCTAAGTTTGCCAAGTGTGGCTTGAACACTTGTATTAATATTTCTGTTGATTTAATGAATATTTTACATTATGTTTGTTTATGGATGTACTACGTGTGAATGATATTCCAGACGCCTTGTATAGTATAGATGTGTTGGACTGCGGTTGACTATTCGTACTGTACGACGGGTTGTTGACGTGTCCGGATAGGTCCGGGGCATGACACCACCATTAGATTGTCCTAACTTTTTCTTCAACTCTTTTAAAACCCACTCCCAGCTCGAGTTGTTTTCACCTTCTACTACTTCCCAAGCTAATGGAAGCATTTGCTCATTTGAGTCCCTCCCAACAACATCGCTCCTAAAAAGGTTTTGATGAAGCACCCATCCACACACAAAACTCTTCTGCCATGACTCAACCATCCATCCTTCAGGCCATTAAAACATACAAAGAAGCGCTTGAAGGTAGGGGGAGGATTGAGGTTTAGGATTTGTGAGTAGTTTGAAGTGGCTGAGGGGATTAACTTGATTTAAGGCTTCCAAATACCTTCCTAGCTTATTATAGTGATCTTTCATGCTGCCATGAAGTTTCTTGTGTGCATATATGGTATTTGACTTTGTAGGAATAATCCCTGTGAACCAGTACTTTGTAATCTCTCCTAATGGTCTCTATGATTTCTTTTGCTGGCCAATGAGGTCTAGACTTAAACACTTCTAGGAATTGCTCTGCCACCCACGAAGCCTTCAATTTCTTATTTTTGTTCATTTTCCTATTACAACTATGCTCCCCTTCCACAGACTTCACCACAAAACTAGCCTTTCTGCTATCCCAGCTCGCATACAATCTAAAAGGACAACGACAACCATCAACACATTTAACACCAACTCTTTGTTGTCTACTCTTACTACTTACATTAATCTTCATATTTTTGCCTTGAGAAATTGCAAACCTAGTAACTGCTGCCTTAATTTCATCTTTGTTTTCAGGCCTCATACCAACCTGCCATACCAACTTATTAAAATCTGTATGAGCATCCACCACTGCAACTCTATCTCTTCTCTTTCTTGGAAGGCTATCCTCATTGTCACTGCCTACAGGTGTGTGGATATCTTCATATTCACTCACAAAGTCATTCCGATCTGAATGACCTTCATCATTAGACGTTGCGGTTGATTCCGTTTTACCCTGTACCACACCTTCAACAGCTTTCTTTTGAAGTTGATTTGCAATATCAACAACCTTGGAATTCTACCCTGTAACTCTTCTTCTAGATTCCATAAATTCTTTATCACTTGTGTCATTATCTGACCCAAACAATGGGACCTCTACCTCCTCTTCACATTCACCTTTAATGTCATAATCTCCATCTTGGTCATTTAGTGTGTTGTGATTCAACATTGTCATCTTCATCACTGGGGTCAGAAGTCTTTGTTTGTTCTCTACTCCTTCCTTGGCTAGTTTGTGCACCAATACCTCCTTCACTTGTTTGTGGTTCACTGCCTATGGTCTATCCTATATTTTCCCTAGTCCTTTCAAGTAGTTCTACAATTTCAGGTGAACTTACTCCATGTTTAATGTACAAATCTATAGTAGAACATTGCAGCACTACATTATACACTTCTCTAATCTCGACATCAAATTTAACACTTCTCAAACCTGTCTCCAAACTCTTACCAGGGATCAAGTAGTATATCTCATCTATACTACTATATTTGCCATACTTCCCTGCTAAAGTCCTCTAGCCAAAACCAACATAGTTTATCAACATCCACATCAAAACACTTAAACAGACCACCAACACACTCTAATTGTCCTCTATTATTCTTCTTGAATGTACCTCCATGCCACATCTTCAGTGTAACCACAGTATTTAAAGCCATTCCTGTTTCTTTCATGTACAACCTAAAGTAACACCAAAACACAATTCATTCAAATCTATAGGATCAAATCAAATAGTCGTTTAGTATTAAAAACACTTTGTCTGTGTGAATAAAATCCTAAAACTACATTTTTAAGTAATTTTCCAAAATCGACACCCCTAAAATTGAACTACCAGTGTACTCCGTTAAAGTTGAATTGGAGACTGAATTTGAGGCTGGAAAGAAGCGCCTCCTCACTTTTGTCATGTAATTGAATATTTGGATTATTATAATTATTCATCAGTGACAAGCAGTGTTCTAAAAGGCGTGAGGCGTGCCAAGGCGTCGAGGCCAAGCCTCAAGCCTTTGAAGCCTAGGCGGGAATAGGCGAAGCCTAGGCGGGAAAAAGCGTTTTAGATTTCTATTGATAATTATTATTTTAATACTAATATATGAAGAAGAAAATAAATGTCCAAAATATATTATACAAGATTGAGCCTAATATATTATAAAAAGTGCAAATACAAAAGGATACATTGTTGTTTTTTACTATTCCATATTAGATTCCATATATAACATGTTTATAAAAGTACTTTATTTTTAAATTTAATCAGTTTTTATTTGCAAAAAATATTTCATATGAAAAACTTTCGCCTTTTCACGCCTAAGCACGCCTAGGCTTCGTCTTTTCACGCCTTTGGTGGTCAACTTTTGAGTTGACCGCATTTTCCACGCCTTTCTACAATGCGAGGCGTTTCTCCGCCGCCTCACGCCTAGGCGCGCCTAGGCCCCGCCTTATGCCGCCTTTGAGAACACTGGTGACAAGTGGTATTATTTAAATTTATTTGGAAAGAAATACTTGTTGTCATATGTATTCTTGATTCATCGGTGACATTTGGTATTATTTAAATTTATTTTCCTTAAATACTTCAAAATGCTGCTATATATTAGTGTAAGATTATTTAAAATACTCCGGGTATAATCTTAACACTATAACTTGTTTGTATTAAAGTATAAAATTATTCATTGTTTATAATGTACTCTTATTATGATTGAAAAGTTCTTCTTTAAACATCTTTCTAAAATGGCCTTATCATATTATAAAAAAATGGTCTTATCATAGTGTGCAATTTGTGCTCATTTTCACTCACATAATTAATACGGAGTGTGTGTAAAAATAACTTATAAACAAAGCATATTTAAGCTAATAAAATTCATTTAATAAATATGTAAACTTTTCACATAGAAAATTAATGTATACAAATACATTACAACAACATTTGTCATATACAATAGTTGAATTATTATTAAATATTTATTTCTATAGTTGCACTCTTATGGATTCTGTGGTGACAATTGGTATTATTTAAAGTTATTGTGCGAAAAATACTTTGTTGTTGCCGCCTTGTTGGTACATAAACTCCTTTCATTCCTGAACATTCTTCTCACTTTCCTTTTTGAGACGTTTCAAACAATTCTTTCATTTTCTTTTTTGAAAAGTTTTGTATGACCATCATTCATTTATCTTTTTCTTACTCAATTAGAATCATACATTTTTACTTTATTCTTACTTCCTTAAATTCTAATTTAAGTCACCAAATTTTTTGAAAAAATTTGAAGAAGGGGGTGTAAAAAAACTGAAAGTAGAAAAACTCAAACTTCAAAACACAAAATGAAAACAGGAAAAAATATTTCTAAACACGCCCCTCCGATTGTCATTCATGATTTCACGCCTTAGTAATTAATTGGGGATGCTCTAAGTTACTCGCCATTAACACCTGAGTTCCAGCCTTCCAGGCTTCTAGCGTCGCTCACCCCCAAGCTCCGCCGGCCTCCGCTCCTCCCTGCTAGATCCTCCGGCGACCACCTCTCTCCAGCCCAACTTCCCATCCTATTCGGTCCTCCACGGCTCGACTCCCCGCCTTCTCCAGTTCTCTTTGGCCCTTGGGGTTCAGCTTTGCCGGTAGGTAGTCGACTACTCGTAATTGATCTATGGCTGGAAATCTATCTACCTGATAACCTCTTTTAATCCCTTTTTTATTATATTTAAATTTAAATTTTGGGACTATAGAAACTTAAATCCAGTTTCCTAATATGTCACTTTTAAGTACGGAGTATTAAAACTCATTCTTTCAAAAAAAGAGTACTCCGTAGTAAAACTCATTTAACTATACACGTGGAGGATTTAAGTTCATCATTAGTCAAGCTTAAAAATCAAATGTCAAATCAATTCAGAAGGATTTAAGTTTATCATTAGTCAAACTTAAAAATATTAAATTGCAAATCAATTCGGGCGAAGTAAGTAGGACATTTTGAAACCTAATCTCATTTTATTTTTAGATTTCCTGTACCACAGAGTTTAAGCTAACCTACAATTTTATTGTTGAGATGTGTACTTTTATTGTTGTTCACTTGTTTGCTTGATTTGATTCATTGTCTTTGTTAATACTTTGCAAGAAATCTGAGTTGTTTATAGCAAGATTTAATAGCTAGAATCTGCCAAGAATTTAAAATTGTGTTTATGACTATTAGTAAGGAGATGTGTTTATGGCTGTTATTGAGCGAGATGTGTTTATGACGATCGGTAACAACGAATTTAGATCATTTTCAGAAAAACCTCGGGCACCAAGAAAAATAAGTTGCTGTAGTAATTTGTTATACTTCATTAATATATTGTCTTACTTTTTACTCACTGATTTAGTTTTTTTGTTGAAAAAGATGCAATGGTAAAATAGTTGCATTACACAAGATTACTGTTCTTAATTTTATTTTTAAATTAATCTTGAACACCCAAAACAAAGGTGCTAGATCCGCCACTGCCCAATTTGGTTTGTATTTTGGCTGCTTTGTCTATAATTCCATATATTTTTTGACTGGTAGCTACCTTCACGACTATGCTATAGTTTAGCAATATACTGTATTTATTTTCATACAGTGCTAAAACCCGGCCTGCTTTTAATTTCCTTGTCAGTTTGCATTTGATAATCAAGCTTCATTCTACTTTAACAGCATCACAATGGAGTAAGTACCCATTTAACCTCCTGCTGCTGTTTTTTCAAGACATATTGTAGATTTGTAGCACTTTCCTACCTTCCATCTTTAAAGTATACTCTTTCCCTTTTCTTCAATTGAATTTTGTTTTTGGTCCAAAAAGCTTGATCTACATTTCCACTATCTTAAACATTTAATAGTTTTGATTCCATCATTTTAAGATGACATTGGTATGTCTTAGATCCCAATACCAATTTAGTAACAAATAGAGACAAGGTCATGATGTTTAACAAGATAAATATTTAGTATCGGAAATGTGTTTAAAACTTTATTAAAGTTTTAACTATAGATGTTCTTGGCTTCTTGCTTCTATCTTGCTTTGAGCCTATAGAATGTTTGAATGATTTCTTATCCAATGGCAATTCTGTAGCAGCTATTTTTCAGTTTCTTTTTCTCACTCATACCCAAGGATTCTTCTATCCTACACTCTGCAACTTGAAACTTCAGATGTCCGTCAATATCTATTTCCTCTAGCTAACAAAAGCACAATGCTCTTTTCCAGTTTTATTGGTATACCACTTGTGTTCTTTTGTCATTTCATGGGAACTGGAGTCGTGGACTTGTGGGATATTTTTTCGAACTACATTCCGGCCTGCTACCTTCGCCGGAAATGAAATAATAATTGAATCTTGAAATGACGGAGAAGTAATTTTTTCTTAATTTTGATTTACTTGTTATACTTTTGAGGCTTGATTTGATTTGCATTATATGCTAATACCCGTTCAACTTTCATATATTTAAGCTTGGTTATCACTCCTTTAAATTGTTTAGATGGTTTATCAGCTTTGTGCAGCCTTGATGACCATTTATTGGAGGTGAGGATTGAGGAAAGTGGAGGAATGATATTTATTTTATTAATTTATTATTACATTTCGATGATTGGATTAAATTGAAGATGAGAAGTTATATAGAAATAATTTATTTTACTAAATATACTTTTTTTAATTCTATAATAACACATTTAAATAAAGATAAATTAATCAAACAAATATGAAGATTCACTTCCCTTCCCTCAAATATCTCCCAACCAAACATTCCCTTAAGGATCTGCTTTATCAGCTTTTTTGAAGTACTCTCTCTCTCTCTCTCACGCTCACACATTTCTTAATGGAAGTGTTTGAGTTCACAGGGTATGGTGGTGGTGAAGAGGTACGTCTTGAGATTGTTCATATCTTTGAAGTACATAACTGCAAATGTGATAGACAGGAACAACGGTAGGATAGTTGCAACAGCGTCCAGCGTCGAGCACTCGCTCAAGAACTCGTTTGAATGTGGAAGAAGCTGCAATGCCAAAGCTGCTGCAGTTGTGGGAGAGGTCTTGGCCAGGCGCCTCAAAGTGGAGGGAATCGATCAAGGTGGAGGGGGAAGTGGAATCCATGTCAATGTAACCAAGGAGGTTGAGAAGAAGGGCTTCAAGAACCGCACCAAGGTCTGGGCTATAGTCAATGGCCTCAAGAACAACGGAGTTAAACTTGTGATGGATGATGTTGCTGATGATCTCACACCTTCCGGCTCTAGCCACTAATGGACTATGTACCTCCCCATATTCCACATGTTGTAAAGATTGTGGAACTTTAAAGTTTATGAGGGTTATTTATCTTCAATGCTTACTAAAATTGTATTTTAGCATCTCAGCCTTCACAGAATGCATATATCTTAGTCCCATAGATAGCTTGACACCCATTTTGCGCATATACTGCGCTATCCAGGTTGATGTGTGGTAGGGGTGGAGCTGTTCAGGGCCAGTTCTGGTCTCAGGACTGGCCAGGACCACCATCTGTATATTGCCTGACCCGGAATTGTCGGGCTGGTTCCAGACTTCCAGTTCTGTTTAAAAACAGTCTGGTCCCTAGACTGGGATCATGTCCACTCCTAACATATGGTGTTAGGCAGTTTCAAATCCTAAAATGTTTTAGGATCATGGAGATTTACTTAAGTAGACAAACTCCCCATTCGATACCCGTTAAGGCTCCAGTGCGTATACGCTGCTTTGCTGAGCCTTCCATTTTTTAGAGGCGCCTAGGTAAGCAATCTGAATTCTGAAAGAATGCTTTGTGATTTTGAAATGTTTGTTCTGCAAACATGGGGATTTTTTTTACATATCTATACGAGCAGACGAGCAGTGGATGGCATGAGGTCTTCCTTATCATTACTCTAAAGTGTGTAGGTCAACTCATAAGAGGATGTATCATACATGCACGGGCAGACACATATCATTGACGATAGGGTTGGATTCGGTTCGGGCCACCCGGCCCGTGACCCGGCCCGGCCCGGTACTGTGCGGGCCCGGAACCGGCCCGGGTTGATATCGGGTCCGGTCCTAACCGGGCCGGGCCGGGCCCGGGTCAAGTTTTTTTTTTGCTTTCTAACTAACCCCCGACCCCCCCACCCCCCCAAACACCCAGCTCTAACCAAGAAAAACGAAAAAATTGGGAAAAAAAGCCTGAGCCCGGCCCCAACCGCCCGGGCCGGTTCAACAAATACTGGGCCCGAGCTCGGTCCGCCCACCCCTCCCCAACCGGGTAAAAGCCCGGACCGGGTTAGCACCAACCGGGCCGGTCTGGGCCCGCACAGTGGCGGGCCGGGCCGAACTGGTTGGTTCCATCCCTAGTGCTCTGTGGTTGTTTGAGAGGAATTTGTTGGCTCGCAACGAAATCAGACCAGAGGATATTCCTCTCAAAATTAGCCTAAATGAGGCTGAATTTTGGATACACGTTCATCATGTTCCCTAATCCCTACGAATATGGATTTAGGAACTGCTAGAAGGATCGATAACTACATTAGCAAGTTTGTTAATTTTGATGAAAGCTAGTTTGATAAAAAAAAATGGGAGACTTATATGCGCATTAGGGTTTGTACATAGGTAAACTCCTGAAAAAAGAGGAAATTGACCATTGGATTGATTTCAAATATGAAAAACTCCTAAACTTTTGCTATGTCTGTGGGGTTATTGGTTGACAAGTTTTGTCCATTAGTATATGAGGGGAATAATATAATTTTAGATAAATCTTATTGAGTCTTGAAAATCGGAATCGTGGCTTGTGTTATTTTGTCATCGCCATTAAATAGTCACTATATATGTTTCTATTATAAGATCATCACTATACATTTTCTCCCCCTTTCAAAATATTATGCATATCTCCATCCCCGTCCCCGCAACACAAACAATTTTATTGGAATTACTTGAAGTCAAAACTATTACATATAAACACTCGGATCAAAAGCAAGTTTATATTTTAAAAGAAAAGGGATCATACTTTTTTAAACATTCCGTTAGGTAGGTACACTTGTATATACTCCGTATATACTAAAAATGCCAAAAAGTGGATGATATATTCATTTGTCAATGATACTATTTTCCTGATAATTGTATATCAATAATAGCATTTTACATTAAAAACATTCGTAAAAAATCACAGTTTCCATTGAAATGAAAGAGATAAGCCTCTTCAAAAACCCCAGATGGATTATTGTCTTGAATGTCTTGATTTTCTTTAAAATTTGCATTCCTACCATACCTACAAAAAAAAAGGTTGAATAAAAACAGGGAGTCGATGCATATTAATAGAAGATATCAAGCATCCTTCAAAATGTAACATGAATCATGTAGCCATGATGTGATTCTCATATTTTAATGCTCAAAGTGTAACCTTCTTTCATGAAAAGTGGCAGTACCATATAAATTGAGGTAGTCTACCGCAAAAGAAGCCTGTATCTTGTAGACGAGTGAGCATGACACAGATTCGTCCATTCTAATTTCTAAGCTCACTACAGCATCTAACATATTTTTTCTTCATTATGAAGAGAACATGGAAAATCTACAGAGGAAAAATGCATACAAAGATCCAATCAAGTAATCAGTTTTTCCTGTACCAATTTCAGAAAGGGTCATTCCAGTTCAACCATCGCACACACCATTTGATCGTACCAAAAACTGTAAACTCTACAATAAGAAATTCTACTGTCCCAAAATCTTAGAGTAGTAGCGAGGAATAAATTAAGTGGTTGAAACTTTAAGGTTTGAATCATCATAGCAAAAATGGGGAGCATTGTACAAAAGAAGAAGACACGGCGAGTGCAACAATGTCATACACTCATGTGGTATAAAACGATCTACTGGGCCTCTTTCCCTAAGATGACAGGAAAAATATTTAATCACTTTCATGAGACTGGCTTTATCATTTGGGCCAGAATGCTGGACCATTATGAAATATCTATAAAAAATTAGTGAGGGCGATATGTGTTAAGATGGATATGTGAAACGCTACAAAGAACATATTTACATGGAATGCATACAGTTTTCGAAGAGAATACATGGAAGAACCAAACATTGATTCAAGCACGAATGACGCTGTGGTAGACCAAAATGCCATGAACTGAAGGCCAATGAAACATCACAGCATTGTAAACTTGCAACTTCATGAACACAAGTGAAAACTGAGGAGTGAGGATATTAGTTGATGACATTAGAAGATTTTCTTTATTGGCCAATATAGCTATCCCTAGTTTATTTGTGATTAAACTTCTGTTGTTGTACACCATATCCTTCAGAATCTTGTAAATTAATCAGTTTTATATAAAGTATAATCAATGTTACTTAAATGACACACATTTGCTTTTGAAATGTTAACGGGAGCAACACATTGAAAAGGGAAATTTTCCTAGTAGACGTTAATAAGGCCAGTACTAAACCGGACCAGAACCGACCCGTTACAACCCCTACCCTACACTCTGTCAAGTGTGTTAACAAAAAGGATTGAGGTTTGAGGTGCATCCGCAATTGACCTAAACACCAAGAATCTACATCATGTTATTACTGGAGATTTCAGTCAGCTTGTTTATCTTACCTGTCATTTGGTGGAAGCTGAAGCAGTGTTTTGAATGTCTGGAAGAGGTGGCAGCTTGGAAATTGCCCAACCGGGTGCATCTCTTATCCACAACGCTTCACCTGAATCTTTGTTTTTGAAGTCCGGACCTTTTTCATTTCTTTTGTTTGACCTGTTATCCCACCACTTACCAGGATTCTCCACCAAACTCTTCCATAGCTCCTCCTTCCCTTTCTTAACCTGTTCTGAACTAAAGCCCACTCGGTCAAGTTCTTTAAGCACAGCTGGGGTTGCCTGATTAACCCACAGTGCAATACCTTTTGTCTTGTGCTTAAAATCCGGGTACTTAGGTTTCACAGTTCCCTCAGACTTCCTTTGCCGGTAATCTTGCCATTCATTTGGATTGTTGATCACATCCCACCAATCTTCACTTCCAGTAGCACCAACTTTGGTCACGCTGGTCTTTCTCTCTCTACTAACCCCATTCTGATCCCCGTTTTCTAAGCTTAATACAGTACCTTCTGAAACATCATATGCAGCACCATTTTCAATTTCCTTCACCTCAAGACCACCAGGAGCCGTTTTTGAATATGATATTTTTGCCTCATTATCTATTTCATCCACCTTAAAACCCTGAGGGAGAGTCTTTGAATCAGAACATGTGGCCCCATTTTTGACTTCCTTCACCTTAAATCCCTCAAGGGAAGTTTTACTTGCTGCCCCATTTTTCTTGCCAACAGCCTTTCCTTCTTCTACAACATGTACAGTTTTTGAGCCAGAATTTATTTCCTCAGTTTCCTTGGCAACAGCCTTCTCCTCCACACCCTGCACAAAGTAGACATCTTGGGCCACAATATGAAAGCTCCCTTCATAATCACCTACAACAAAAGGCAAAGGGTCTCCACACAATTTCCCAGACACAAAGACACAGTCACTTTCCTTCACATGGCATTTCACAACATGAGCCAAATCACCCTCAAATACAACAGGAATCAAGAAATTAGGCACATAAGGCATGGAAAAAGATAGTGCAGTTCTCAGTTCACGGTTATCTTGCTCAATAATAGTTGCCGCTACGGATTTACCGTCAGTCAAGGTCTGGAACTGAACTGGGCGCCGCACACAACCGACCAGTTTAACAGAATTTGCAGCCTTACCTTGGAAAGGAATCTCACTGGGCCTGCGCCAAGACGATGCGGCACCGGATTCCTTTGCAAGTTTTGGGGAGTTTAATACGTACGATGTAGTTGAAAATGAGCGTTCTCTGAGTACTGAAGAGGAACAACAGGACTCTGGTTGGAGGGAAGCTAGGGTTTGTGTAAAGATAATGCCTTTTCTTGGCTGTGAGTACAGCAGGCGAGAGCGGGAGAGTATTCTTGATAGGAAATTCATAGTCTCAGCGTTGCACGCGAAGCCACGAGCAATCTGTTGGTAAGGAGTTAGGTTATATCTACATGACTGACACACTCCTGGTGGCTAGTAGGGGTGGTCAAACCTGTCCAAGAACGGCTGGTCGGACCAAGTAATACATGTCTCGAGTGGTGGAGTTCTAATTTCAGAAAACCAAACGGTTCCGGACAGGTCCTTACAAACTTAAGAATCAAATGGGTCTTAAAATTTGAAGAAATTAGCTAGTCTGTTGCAAAGAGTTTCTCAGTGCATCTAAACTCCTAAATCAAATTGGTCAGTCTGTTCCGGACGGATTGAAACGTTTTAAAATATTATTTTAAAACGAGTTCTTGTGTCTAGAAAAAGACATTCCATTAAAGAAATTGGTCAGTCTGTTACAAAGAGTTTCCAAGTTCATCTAAACTCCTAAATTATCGTCCTTAATTCTCTA